AACAGGCTCTTTGTTATGAGAAGGATTTTTGGGTGTACACTGTTGGTTTTTTGCCCAGAGAGTTTGTGGCTCCGGAAGTTCAGCCTTCTTATTTCCAAGGGGACGTGTTGATGGAGCAAACTGGCCTTTTGTCATGGGCCGATCCGGAACAAGAGGTTCTGAAGGAGGAATAAGAGCTGGTCATCTTTCATAAATTAGCTGAAGAATAAACAGGGCACCATAAACCATTGTTCTTGACTGTGTATCTCGATGGTCGCACGATCAGCAAGGTTTTGGTCGATGGGGAGGGGGGCATCCGTCAATGTGATGGCCCTATACACACTCTGAAAAATTGGGAAGAACCGGGGAGATCTGATTGCTACCACCATGCGGACCACGGATTTTACAGGAAATACGCATTCGGCCGTCAGCGTATTAGTGGCCGATGTGATGGTTGGGATTCGTACCGACTAGATGGGCTTCTTTATGATCGAAGGCAAATCGACTTACTCGGCCATCTTTGGGAGGGACTGGATTCACACTACCTAGAGTGTTCCGTCCACCCTGCACCAAAAAGTGGTATTTTGGAATGCTAATCGCGTAGAAACGGTCGAAGCCGAAACCGACCCCGCGATGGAGGTCCATGCAGCCGAGGTGGTCTATTATTCGCCTAGCGTGTATCCGCTTTCAAAGATGTTGAGGGACGTGGATACATGGACAGAATGTAACCTTACAATGAAAGGGTTCGAATTCATATAGAAGTCGACTCATGGCCCGTCCACCAAACTGTTCGTAATGAATGGCGACCAAGATGTATTGAGGGACCTGGAGGGATGGATATACGAGACATATGATGCTACATGGAGTACTAGATATGTCTTTGTTCGAATCCTTGAAAGGCAAACAGATCATCCAGATCCTCCGCTTTCCCTAGAGGATCGGAATGAAGATGAATTTCCCTCACCTATCCAGAGGGCTACCCCGTCCTTCGAAGCACAAGATCCTATTGAGGAAATCAATCTTGGTGACGTTACAGCGCCTCGGATAACCAAGATCAATTCTCTGCTGTCGCAAGACTAGAAACGGAGAATTTTGGATTTGATACGAGAATATCGAGACTGTTTCGCGTAGGACTACCATGAGATGCCGGGTCTGTCCAGAACTTGGTTGAACATCGGCTATCTACCAAGCTGTCATTTAAACCTCACAAACAACTCCAACGGTATTTCAACCCGGAGTTGATGCCGAAAGTCAAAGAAGAGGTGGAAAAGTTTCTTAAGGAAAATTTTATTTGTACCTGCCGATACCCGGAATGCATATCTAACATCGTACCCGTGGTGAAGAAAAATAGGAAGATCCGGGTGTGTATCAATTTTTGCAACCTTAACTTGGCGACACCTAAAGATGAGTTGTAATGCTCTGATTTTGGAGTGTATAAAATAATAATATTATAGCAAATAAATATTTTTTATAATATTTTGGGATCAAGAAATTAATATTCTTGAATAAATCTTATTCCTATTTTATAGATTGATTATGATTGAAAAGACTGTTAAACGGATAAATATCGATAAGGATAAATATAAAATATATATATAATAATATAATAATAATAAGTGATGATAATGATGATATGGATGGGCGATGATAATAATATTAATAATAACTTTTACTAATAATAATAATAATAATAATATAATATAATATAATATATAATAATAATAATAATATAATTATATATATAAATCAATCTTACTGCGAAGGAAGGAAGTAGAAGAAACGCCGGGAAAGAAAAAGAAAGGAAGAAAGAAAAAGATTTAGCTGTTCAATTTCGATTCCGACTTCGGTATTATATTCCTTGTTATACGTAGAATTTAATTATGAATTTTAATAAGAATTTAGATATTGAAGATATTAAATTAGAAATTCTTAAAAAATTCATAACCGGCTATTTGGCTATTTAATCGACTAAGTTCTTTAGCTAATAGCCTATTCGTAGTCCTAGCATTATATTATGAGAATTTCGTATCGATCTGAATCGAATTGAAAACGGCAGTGTATTGCACCTGCCTGTTTATTCATATTTTTAAGTATTTTTATTTAATAATCGGGCGATATAAAAATTATGAGGTATAAGAGTTTTATAGTTAGAATATATAAAAGTTTGAAACTCAATGAGCTAATTATAGAAATTAGCTTTTGAATAAGCAAGTAGCTCCTATGAATAAGCATATAGCTCAGCTGATTTGAGTAAATAATGGGGCAGGTGTATGTTGGAGGAGATTCGGGTGAGATTGCAAAAGCTAAGGAGTGTTGATAAGAGGTAAGCAGTAAGGAATTAAATCTAATTTTAAGAAATTAGGTATGCATGTTGCATGCGACGATTTTGATTAATATGTTAATGTGATATTATATGAATCATTTTGTCAGTGCATGTATATATTTATATATGTGTGCGTATGCATGTGGGAGACTTCACGGTTCATGATATTTGATATACGTATTTGATCGCTTAGGTGAATTTATGAAAAGGAGGATAGGTGAGCTGTCTCACCAGCCTTTTTCGGTAAATTCACTTATTTGACATGATGCACACATATTGCACGGTTTATTAGGTATATTTTATGGATCTATCGTTTAGTCGCCGTGTGCGGTAGTGCTAGGTGAGGGCATCATCTAGGGTTAGGATATTCGACCCCGATGTACCGTAACACTTTGGCGATAGTGGACGATAATAGTCGGACAACTGGGTGACTTAGTCGCACGGTCATTCAGGGATTAGACCCATTGTAGTTTAGACGTATTCGGTCTAATCATTCGTGTTCGGTGTTATTCCACTCATTGGAGTAGCTACTAGTGAGGTCTACCGGTAGTTTAGGATCATATGCCAAACTCCAAACGTGATCCCGTTAGGGCGCACGAGGAGGAGTAGAGTTTCCGGGTTTCCCTTGGGTGATTCTAGGTTGCACGGATTCTACTACATTACACGGGATAGGGCTAGTCAGTGGGGGTCCTATCTTTGCTATCACAGACTATGGGGCGTCTTGTGGTTAATGGCGACAACGTTCGGTTATCCATGTATTGATTGTGGGAGTCGTATGGTGGGTATATGGGAGTGACTGGATGACCGTTATATTATTATGGGTTTATCAGGTCCTTCCTTGAGCCGAGGATTTTCCGGCTATTTATTGATGATGGTCTAGTGAGCTTGTTATTACGAGGCCGAGGGTATTTCGGCTGCTCACTTAGACAGATGTAGTGTGCCTATGATTATGGAGCCGAGGTTATTCCGGCTGCTCACTTCAACGGATGTATATATATATGTGGATGTGCATTGTTGTCGAGTTTGATATCTGTATTGCATCATTTCACTATTGGCATGACACACGTATTTTATGATTAACGGGAATTAAACTTTATTCCAAAAAGGTATGAAATGACATATTTCACGTTAGTTCTTAAAACGGATTTAATTCTAGACTGCTTTTTTTAAGAAAATATTTGTTTCAGGTATGCATGGCACATCCAAGACAGGGGACGTCTCGGGATATAGAAAGACGGGCTGAGTGAGTGAACTTACATCTATTGTATTATATCTAAATTTTTAACCGAAAAAACCTCTTGTTAAGGGGTGTGTTTTGTAAATATTTATAAATCAGATTCTGTTATATAATAATGCGCTTTTATGGTTAATTTTAGCCTTACCACTGTATTGTGGGGCCCGAAGTAGGAGATGACGACCTCATAATGTAGTGTGGCGATAGCATTTTCCAGTATGAGTCAACTGGGGGTGTTACATGAGTACGTTATGCCAATCGCCGATATGCTTGTCGACTCAATGGTGGGGTATGAGATCTTGTCCTTTGTGGATGGGTACTCAGGATACAATCACATATACTTAGCCGATGAGGATGCCCACAAAACAACATTTCTATTTTCGGGGGTGATTGGCATATTCAAGTGGATTGTGATGTCGTTCGGATTGAAGAACGAGCAACCTATCAAAGGGCCATGAATGAGATCTTCCACGACTAAATCGGCGAGTGTATGGAATTATACATCGACGATGTCAATGTTAAATCCAGAGCATTCAACCACCTCCTCGCTGACCTCCGGAGGGCCTTTACCCGGATAAGGCAGCACGACCTTAAAATGAACCCCACGAAGTGCGCATTTGGCGTTCAAGCGGGAAATTTCCTAGGCTTTCTCATGCATCAGAGGGGGATCGAAATTGATCAGAATATGGCAAAAGTGATCCAAGAGTTGGGACCCCCACACAACCTCAAGGAATTAAGAGTTTGATGGGTAAGATCAATTTTCTAGGGCGATTCATCATCAATGCCGCCGGAAAGATGAAGGTGTTCTCCGTGTTGCTACGTGGAAGTCGGGAGGTTTTCGAATGGGGAAGCAGCACAATAGGCCACTTTGGAACAGATCAACCAAAACTTTACATCACCACCAGTGTTGATGCTGCCAATCCCGGATAAGGAGTTGAAACTTTACATTTCGGCAACAGAGGATACTATCGGCTACCTCCCCACGCAAGATAATGAGTCGGGCCAAGAAAGAGCAATTTATTATCTCAGTAAGACTTTGAATAATGCTGAAATTCGTTATGCATGTATCGAGAAATTATGTTTATCTTTATACTATGCATGCACGAAGTTGGAATATTATTTGACGCCTATTGAAACTAATGTGTTATACAAAGTCGACTTGTTAAGATATTTGCTAAGCAGGCCGGTCCTCCAAGGCCGCATAGTCAAGTGGGCAATGAAACTAGCATCGTTCGCCTTAAGATACCAGCTTTAAAAGTAGTAAAAGGGCAGGCCATTGCTGATTTTCTTGCCGAACATCCTGGGATGATCGAGGCCGCCCCCATGGAGTACATCGGTATGGAGCCATGGCAAGTTACGTTCGATGGTCCGGAGGAGCAGCAGGGGCTGGAATCTTGATAAGTAGTCCCCAAGGAGAAGTTCGGCGTTTCGCACATCAACTCCCGCATGGAATAACCAACAACCATGCGGAGTGTGAAACTCTCGTGCTGGCGTTGCATTTTCTTGCCGCGAGACAAGCGATTTGGAGGTAACCTTGTGGGCCTATTGAGGACCATCACAACCGACCAAGGGACAGTGTTCACTAGCGCAAAGCTTAATGCCTTTATGGCGCAATACGACATCCGATTGGTACATTTTTCTCCGTATTATCTGCAAGCCAAGGGGCAAGTCGAAGCCACGAGCAAGACACTAATCGCTATCATAAAAAAGGCGTTGGATGACAACCCGAGGGCATGGAACGATACTTTGGAGGTAGCCTTGTGGGCCTATCGGAACGCAAAGTCTGCTGCAACCAGAAGCACACCTTATAGGTTGACCTACGAACAAAACGCGGTCCTACCCGTTGAGATAACGGTACCTTCTTTTAGGGTATTGAAACAAAATGAAATACCGATGGAGGAACATAACCCGGTGTTGTTGCATGAGCTGGACGGCCTCTCGGAGGAACGACTTCAAGCCCTTAAGCACCTCTGTCTCCAAAAGAAGAAATTTGAACAAACCTTCCAACGACAGGTTCGGCCGTGGTCTTTCCAAGAGGGCTACTTGGTTTGGAAAGTTATACTCTCGGAAGGTCCCAAAGACCCGAAGCTCGGAAAGTGGTCGCCTAATTGGGAGGGCCTTTATATCATCTCGGAAAACCCGAAGGTGAAGATTTAAAGACATTCATCAACGGAAAGCATCTATAACCTTACTATCCATCATCTTGGGATCTCGAAGAACGTCCAACTCAACAGCAGCCCAGATTAGCTCCCGGCGATGCCCGAAATATATCATTCCGACCAGCGAACTAGGACAACATAGAGGATCGGACCTCTGAATCCAACAGGTCATCAGGCAGGTCAATCGAGGCATTAGGGATGAGGCCATTTGAGAAGATGTGAGGATTTTCTCTCACTAGGAACGAAGGTGATGATCCTTTCTTCCACCGGAGAAGAAAAGAACGATAATGGTGGCATGTAAGCTAGTGAAAAAAGTACGCATAAGTGTTTGGAAAATGTTTACACATAAACAAAAATAATTTTGGATTGCAAAAGATACTTTTGTCCAAAATATTTTTGTGGGGGGCATTTGTTATCCTACAAAAACAATTATAGGCCCAGCCCGGATGAACTAGAAATAGGCCCAAAGCTCCACAAAACCGGCCCGGAGAAGAAACAGCCCAGTCCAGATGAGAGCCAAATGAACAAAACCGGCCCAAAAGCTGGACGGATGAAAAGTGAGAGTGATGGAGAAGGTAGTCTAAGTATGTTCCTAAAATGGAGGGAGAAGTGGAGGAAGTAATTCCTAAATTGAAGGAAAGTGGAGTGAATATTGGGAAACACACATATCAAAGACATACATATGACTAGTTGTATGAATGCCTACATTATATGACTTTTCTACCCTTTTTTCATTTACTTATTATCGTTAGTGTATTAGCTTTGTTGTGTTAGGTTGTAAAAATGCAAGTCTTCGAGGTCCTAGAGTGTCATTTTGCTTATATTTTGTACTTTTGGTTATTGATTTTGGATGTTCTTGAGAGTTGTGTTTATTCAATTCCATTTGCTATTTTGTAGTAATTTACTTGTACAAAATATATTATATGGATATCATTTTGTAGATCGTAAAGTTTTCTCTAATACAATAACTTAGTTACAATATTCTAATCCTATGATATATAAAAAAATGCATTTGAAACTAATGCAGGGGTTTTTGGATTTGTTGGGCACGCAAAACAAAAAAAAATTTAGTCCAACTGAACGGCTGATCTTACAGAAATAAAAGACATCCGATTTTGGGGCAGTCTCAAATGATAACCGACCAATTCCCTCAAATTCAAAATATAATTAAAAAATAATTAAAAAAATTAATATTTTTAAAAAAAATCATTTGTTGCACAGAAATAAAAATATATATTTATATAATTTATTATATTTCTTTCTCTCCTCTTTCTATTCCAACCGACTACTTACTGGACGGTTCTCCTCCTCTTTGTCATACAACCAATTCAGTATATATATCATTTTGTAGAAAATAATTTTTTAATAAAATAGAAAAAAATTTATCCAAAGAAAAATATATATTTTCTTAAATTGGTTGTGTTGAGTACAAATAATAATAATAATAATGGTACTAGGATTCTGGATGGTCTGAATATAAGCTAAACGGCCGATACAGAGGTCGGACAAGATGAAGTCGGGCGAAGAAAGAAGTATCAGCAGACACGGAGATCGGACAGGATAAGGTCGGGCAAAGAAGAAGTATTGGCACACGGAGGTCGGACAGGATAAGGTCGGGCAAAGAAAAAGTATCGGCAGACACGGAGGTCGGACAGAAGAGGAACTCGGGCGAAGAAGAATGAGACGGCCGATGCGGAGGTCGGTCAAAAAGAGGTCGGACGAAAGGAAAGGTCTGTTAATTGGTCGGGTGAACAAAGGGTTTGTTGGTTGGTCGCTTAATTAAGCTACCTGTTAATCGTCTGATCCATTGGCCGGTCACTTGGTCAAAACAGTAGTTCAGTCGCTTGAAAGGGCAGTCAGTTGGTCGCTTGATTGGGCGACCAATGAATCGTCTGGACGAATGGTTGTTCGGCCGTTTGAAGGGACCCGATGGTCGTCGCCTGATTGGGCGACCAATGAATTGTCTGAACGAATAGTTGTTCAGCCGAGTGAAGGGACTAGATGGTGGTCGCTTGATCGGGCGACCAATCAATCGTCTGGACGAATGGTTGTTCAGCCGATTGAAGGGACCACAGGGTGGTCGCTTTATGGGGCGACCAGTGAGTCGTTTGGTCTAGCGACCAGTTAGTATCTGGATTGGTCGGTTGGTCAATCGTTGGGTTATGCGGTAGGTTCAGTCAGTCGGCTTGCAGTCTGTCTAAAGTACGCTGGGCGGTTGAGTAGTCGTTCGGGACTAGCCGTCCATTTAAGGCGGTAAGGTGTTCAGAGGCGATCGGCCGAGCCAGTTGAATGCTGTAACTGGCGCAAGCGGTTGGTGAGTCGGTTAACACATGTGTCAACAGAGGAGAACCTTGTGGGCGGTTGAAAGCGGTTGTTGTAACTGACCAGATATTGGTTGGTTGCACAGATATAAAAAATATATATTTATATAATTTATTATATATTTTTTTCTCCAGTTTATATTCCAACCGACTACTTACTCGACGGTTCTCCTTCTCTTTGTCGTCCCAACAATTCAGTATATATATTCATTTTGTAAAAAATAATTTTTTAATAAAATAGAAAAAAATATCCAAAGAAAAATATATATTTTTTTAAATTGATTGGTTGCACAGATATAAAAAAATATATATATTTATATAATTTATTTTATATTTTTCTCTCCTCTTATTATTCCAACCGACTACTTACTCGACGGTTTTCCTCCTCTTTGTCGTCCCACCAATTCAGTATATATATATTCATTTTGTAAAAAATAATTTTTTAATAAAATAGAAAAAATATCCAAAGAAAAATATATATTTTTTTAAATTGGTTGGTTGCACATATATAAAAAAATATATATTTATATAATTTATTATATATTTTTCTCTCCTCTTTCTATTCCAACCAACTACTTACTGAACGGTTCTCCTCTTTGTCGTCCGACCAATTCAGCATATATTATTTTGTAGAGAATAATTTTTTAATAAAATAGAAAAAAATTATCAAAAAAAATATTTTTTTTAAAAAATTGGTTGGTTGCACAGATATAAAAAATATATATTTATATAATTTATTATGTATTTTTCTCTCCTCTTTCTATTCCAACCGACTACTTACTGGACGGTTCTCCTCCTCTTTGTCGTCCCACCAATTCAGTATATATATTCATTTTGTAGAAAATAATTTTTTAATAAAAAAAAAAAAATATATCCAAAGAAAAATATATATTTTTTTAAATCGGTTAGTTGCACAGATATAAAAAATATATTTATATAATTTATTATATTTCTTTCTCTCATTTTCTACCCCAACCAACTACCTACTGGACGGTTCTCCTACTTGACCAATTCAGCATATATATTATTTTGTAGAAAATAATTTTTTAATAAAATAGAAAAAAAAATTGTCCAAAAAAAATATTTTTTTTTTAAAAAAAATGGTTGGATGCACATATATAAAAAATATATATTTATATAATTTATTATATATTTTTTTCTTCTCTTTCTATTCCAACCGACTACTTACTGGACGGTTCTCCTCCACTTTGTCACCCGACCAATTCAGTATATATATATTCATTTTGTAGAAAATAATTTTTTAATAAAATAGAAAAAAATATATCCAAAGAAAAATATATATATTTTTAAATTGGTTGCTTGCACAGATTTAAAAACTATATATTTATTTAATTTATTATAATTTTTTTCTCTCATTTTTCACCCCAACCGACTACCTATTGGACCGTTCTCTTCCTTGACCAATTTAGCATATATATCATTTTGTAGAAAATAATTTTTTAATAAAATAGAAAAAAACATATCCAAAGAAAAATATATATTTTTTAAAATTGGTTGCTTGCACAGATTTAAAAACTATATATTTATTTAATTTATTATATTTTTTCCTCTCATTTTCTACCCCAACCGACTGCCTACTAGACGGTTCTCCTCTTTGACCAATTCAACATAAATATTATTTTGTAGAAAATAATTTTTTAATGAAATAGAAAAAATTTATCCAAAAAAAAAAATTTTTTTAAAATGATTGGTTGGTTGCACAGATATAAAAAATATATATTTATATAATTTATTATATATTTTTCTCTCCTCTTTCTATTCCAACCGACTACTTACTGGACGGTTCTCTTCTACTTTGTCATCCGACCAATTCAGTATATATATTCATTTTGTAGAAAATAATTTATTAATAAAATAGAAAAAAATATATCCAAAGAAAAATATATATTTTTTTAAATTGGTTGGTTGTACAAATATAAAAAATATATATTTATATAATTTATTATATTTCTTTCTCTCATTTTCTACCCCAACCGACTACCTAATGGACGGTTCTCCTCCTTGACCAATTCAACATATATATCATTTTGTAGAGAATAATTTTTTAATAAAATAGAAAAAAGTTTATCCAAAAAAAAATATATATTTTTTAAAATTGGTTGGTTGTACAGATATAAAAAATATATATTTTTATAATTTATTATATTTCTTTCTCTCATTTTCTATCCCAACCCAACCGACTACCTACTGGATGGTTCTTCTCCTTGACCAATTCAGCATATATATCATTTTGTAGATAATAATTTTTTAATAAAATAAAAAAAATATCCAAAAAAAAATTTTTTTTAAAAAATTGTTTGGTTGCAAAGATATAAAAAAATATATGTTTTTATAATTTATTATTGTTACGTAAGAAAAAAACCAATATGCATAGTTTTCGAGAAGGGTATGTTAATGGCAGTGAGATCCTAAATGGGTCTAAATATAAGCCAAACAGCCTAAGTGTTATTAATAAATGAGTTTTGTTCGGGAGAAACCTGTGATTAAGAGGTCGGAGAAGAAGAGGGCGGGCGAAGAAGGGTAAACAATATACATTCAGGTCGGGTGGCATATAGGTCGAACAAGAGGAAGACGGGCGAAGAAAGATGAGACGGCCGATACGGAGGTCAGGCAAAAGGAAGACGGGCGAAGAAAGATGAGGGCCGATACAGAAGTC